GGCAGCATCCCCTTTTAAAGGGATCTGTCAGACCTCTTGACCAATGAGATTCAATCTCTGTTCCCGCCGGAACAGAGGACCTTGGTGAAAACCTCTTGCAATCTGTCAGCGGGGGGGGGGGTATCTAACAGAAGGCATTGCTGGAAGATGCATGCACAAACTGCACGCATGTGCACGCACACTGCAAATGTTCATGTGAAGGACATCGAACCCCATTGCAACTGTACCGGTTGCAACGGGATCCGGAACCCACCACTGTGCACTCCCCACTATAAGTATTCAATGTAGCCTTGCTGACTCTGTTCCACTCCATTATTTTCCCCTCAATAATTGATCGGCTTCTGAGATGGCTCCGTCTGCACCACATGTTCTTTCATTTATTTTTTTGCCCTAAAGGTTTCTTGAGCTTTGGCAAACAACGGCATTTCGTTGGCTGATAATAACCATTTCTTCTATTCACGAGTGCTAATTTGCCTGTACGAAGTTCCAGACTTGCTGAACAGGTTTGCTGTCCAGCATATGGGATTTGTACTCATAACAAAAACTAACTTCTGCTTTCTTTAATAGTTGTACAATACTTGGGTTGCTGGCGGTGTTACTGCCGGTTCGCAACCTGCGTGCGCTCGCTTTGCTCGTTTGCGCTGTTCAATGTAAATTGTTCTTCGTGCATGCGCAGAACAATTTACAGTGAACTGCACACGTGCAGTCACTAAAATCCAAAATGGCGGTGCCCAAGAGGCAGTGAGGGAACTGGTTTGGGGGCATGGCAGGCCTGGGTCACTGCCGGTTCTGCGACCCAGGCCTGAATTCCACTACTGGTTCAGCTGAACCAGACTGAACCGGCAGCAACCCACCTCTGCTTAGGGGTTAAAGGAACCCAGATAGAAACCAGGAAACTTAAGTTCTACTCCTGCCTTGGGCATAAAGCCAGCTGGGTGACTTTTAAGCTTGCCACTCCCTCTCAGCCCAAGGAGGAAGCTGACAATGGCAAATCACTCCTTAAAATCCTGCTGAGAAAATTGCAGGGACTTGTCCATGCAATTGGCAGGAATCAGGTGCACACAAACACACAAAGTGTTACGGCTTGAGACCTGTGGCCTCAAGAGCGTTTAATGTCAACCAGTCATCCTTTACACCTTTTTGGCAGGTTGGTTATATTAATCTTGTGTTGCAGTTTTCAGATTCTAATAAACAGCAGTGCCTTGGCCTGTCCTAAATGGCTCAGGGCCAACAAGATGTTTTCCCCCATCTTGCCCATCAAGGCTCAGGTTTTGGCAGGTTCAGTATCTGAGGCAAGCACAGGGCATTTGTAGAAGATTTTCAATTACTAGAACTACCAGGCAAAAAGCTTGAAGGAATGCCCAGTGAAGCAACTTGGCTGCTTCACTTTTGAATAGGGTGGCGGTGGTGGTGAAGGGGGAGTATTGTTCACAAAGCAGTTTTTGTGTTAAGCGTTTGGTAGCATCTTGGACTGGAAGTGGTTAATCCCAAGAACAAGCTTCCTCCTCCTCCTTTCTCTGGTCATGAAGATTTATTAAAAAGAAAGCTAAAGGAACAAAACATGAATTCCAGCAAATATTCTATCTAGTATTTTCAAATGAGAAAAATATACATACGGACAAATTCAGACAGAAAGGTTCTTAATTCTCTTTCCTGGATTCTCCTGGTGTAAATAGAAGTTTGTCTCTTTTGTGAAAGAGGGGCAGACGGCATAGATTGATTATTTTGGGAACAGCTATAGACTTCTTACCCCACTGACAGCCAGCTCCTACTCTTTGAAGGTTGCTTCAAAGCACTCCCATGAAGCTTTGTTCAGCTCAAATAGCAGCAGCAGCTAAGATGGAGGATTAGAAAGGTCCAACACTTTCTCTCATGCTACCAAATAAGCTTTTTATCCCAGTAGCAGAAAGTAGCTACCCAAAGAAGAAACACAGATCAGATTACAGGTACTAAATGGGTGCAACTTTATTTACAATGTAAAGTGCATCACACAGAAATTGTTGAAACACAAGACAGGTGGTAACATAAATTACAATATATTTTATGGGTTTAAACCGTAGTTTTTTTAAAAAAGCAATGATGATTCTTCTACAGATGTAATAATAAGAACAACAACCTAATTTTGACTCTCCATCTTTTTCCTTTCAGGCATCACACTTCCTTCTAGCAGACCTACATCTTGTGCATCCTTTTTAGGTCAGAGTTTGCACCTTCTTTATTAATCCAAATAAACGGGGAAAATGTATGAACTGCTAGTGCTGAAAATAAGCAATCTTATTTTATTATTGTATGTTATCTTTTATCATTTGCCATACAAACATTTTGGCTCAAAGTATAGCCATTCATCTGGTGTGTGTGAATAAATAGGAAAAGAAGGAATCTTGCAAAGAAAAAGGTACCACGAGGACGGTTAATTTATTTTAGAGTTCTTTTCCCATTTTATGAAGATTGTCTTATAGCTGAAATCTTATACATAATTAACTCAGGATCTGCCCCCCTGGGAGTAGGCCTGGTGAAATGGATTTCTAAGAATGAGCTGCATCTATTAAAAAGTAATGTAGAATTGGAAGCCTCTTAAAGATCATTAGGAAGATAAGCCAGCCACTGAAAATGTTATTGCTATATTTTCTGGAAGAGCTTGTATAAGATAGAATGTATTTCAGTTTTAGTAATACATGCCCTTAGAATGAGTGGAAAAAGCCCAACCCAATTTCTTATTAGAAAGATATGGATGGATTTATTTACTAACTGCTGTTGTGCTAGCAAGCAAATTGCTGTCTCTCAGAGGTTTTGCTTCCTGATTAAAACTGAACATATATTTCAATTTTCCTTTTAATTTGGAAAATGCTTAGGAGAAAAAAAATAGGTCTGTTTATTCCTTCTAAATGACTAAAATCCTTCATAAGAACTTGAGTGTCAAATTATAAACATATGCAAGCATGCCCAAGAAGGGAAAGACATGGATAAATAGTGTGACCATACAAGCTACAATTACTCACTTCTATACTGTAATGCAGCTTCCTCAATAAACTGGAAGTGGAATTACAGTGTTGAATCTACACACTGGGCTAACCCCTGTCCACAGAACAAATTATAATAGGGTGGCATAGTATTTATAAATATATGTAGTATGCTACAGATACAAATTAATCACATTTTCCTCATCTCTAAAGATCTGCAGATGTTTCAGTTTGCAGTGTTTGCGAAACAATAGAAAAGTGTGCAATCTGAACAATTTAAGCAGGAATTGTGGCTCCCAAAAACTCAATATATGCAAACTACTGTTTCTAACCATATCATTCAAACCACAAAGCCCCACAGTATCTGACATATGTCTTTCACTGGAGGCTAGATATGCTTTGCTTTAATCTTTTCATAATATTTATTTTTGCATTGTGTTCCATAGTTGATACACTCTGGGTTCTTAAGCCAAGCAGAGTTGGGCATGGCTAGTATTTGGATGGGAGAACATTTAAAAATTTCAAGTCTCTCTAACAAAATCCCAGAGGGCAATTGCACATCTCCTCCACGCTGTTGTGAAGAAAAATGTATGTTGGTGCAACCAGATTTTAACAGATTCACAAGGGATCTTGCAGGTCATCTAGTCCAACCCCCTGCCCAAGCAGAAGACCCTACGGCTCTAGGCTCTACCTAGGATTGAACTCACAAACTCCTGATGGTGAGGTGAGAACTCCACCTCTAGGTCATAGAGTTCCCCTTGGAGGTAGATTGCTAATTCGGAGTGTTCTGTCTCTATCAGCAAGAGTCCTCTATGCTAAATAAAAAGAAACCAGCAAGTGCAATATAGCAAATAATGCAAGACAAGGAGATGGGGAGAAATGAGGAAAAAGGCATTCTCTTTTCAAATCTATTATTTCAGACAGTCATTATCAAACCTCTCAGGAAACTTTCCTCCACAGAAAATTAATCATGCTATTCCCATATACACATTTAATGTTATGTCCACCCTTTAGTTTTTGCTTTCGGAAAGAATAACTTTCAACCTGATCTGAAGCCCAAAATAAAATTGCTATAATCAAGCAGGGAAAGATAAAGAGAATTGCTTCAAAAATATAAGGTTCCATTTGTGGGGGGAAAAGGGCTAATATAGATGCATCCATTGTAATATGTATGAACTGTCTTACAGGAAAGTAATGCAGTAAGGAACAAACACATTAGTTTTAAGGACACAAAAGTAGTCCTTCCTACTTTTTACCTTCGCAGCAACTAAATTATTCTGGTGGATGTCTCTGGATATAATTATTACAGTGTTTAACCACAGCCTTTTTGTATTACTGTAGATACCATGCTGCCTTTCAATTGGGACTCAGCAGTTCTTTTCCTGAGAAATGAATATGTTGAGGAATGTTATTTTAAAACAGTCTTATATTTTAAATCCAGGATAAGTAACAGCTGCTTATTAATTTCAATGGAAACTGGAGGCTATTTTTCCTGTTTTGACAAGTGATGCATTCTAGCAAATAATATCAAAAACACAAAATCTGGATTTTTACTTTTTTTCCATGGGAAAGGCAACTACCGTTTTACTTGGTTTGAACTAAGCGCTAATCATTCACCAAATCCATGTATATTTTAAATATTTATCCATGATAAAATAACAAGTACTTTCCCAGTAAACAGGCTTGATTTTAGCGGCCAGCAACACATTTTTGTAGGCAGTTAAGTCTCTACTGACGTATTTCCTCCCTTTCTGATTCTTTTTCCTTCACAGATAGCCCACTCACTGGCCTACATAGAAGAAAACATGGATTGGCTCTCCGATTTATTAGTATTCTTATCAAACCTGGAAGAATTCCATATTGAGAGCTCCCTATTAAGCAACAGCCTTCTAAGCCATGGAAAAATACCCGAAGTATTTTCTTAGCATGAGTGGAGGGATTGGTGGCCTTCATATATTCATATTTATTTTGAAAACAGAATATTCTTATTTACCAACTTTAAACCATTTGGAATGCTTGAAGCTCTAGATTCAAATTTGTTCCATCAAACAACAGTAGCTAAATATTTTCCATCTTGCAATTACTATAATGAAATAGACAAATGGTTTGCAGGAGGTATGTTAGACCAAACAAATCTAACATGACAATCATTTATTATTCATCTCATTTACTTATAAAGGATATCGGGTACGTTAGCATATAAAGAGATCATGATGGAAAGACTGAATTTCCCCCTTTTCCATGTGTTAACTTTCCTCTCTCTATTTCTGCATTGCTTTCAATAGTGGATCCAATAACAGAGAAGAGACCCAAGTATAAGAAGGTTCGACTCAAGACCGAGAAATCATAGTTCTTAAGTCTAATGCATTCACTTACATTTTTACTTATGTTACATCACTTACATGAGGTGGGAGGGGAAAGGAAATATGAGTTTAATTAAGTTTCATACCCAATGCAAGCATCTTTTTTGGCCATGGAATACAACTTAAACATAAGAGTTTTGCACCCATAAAATGAAAGACTGTAAGGTTTTCTCTTTCAGCGAATAAAATTTGTACATTTGTGTGTTTGACAGCAGCAACATTTTTTAGCATGTATCTTTCTGCAAGAGAAAAAAAAACCCATACAGATGCTTCCATTCAAAATTAAACGTTTAAGAAAAATATAATAATAATAAATTCAGAACAGTTTTTAAAAAATCCACTATATTTGATTTTACAGTGACTGTAGTACCAAAATCCACTGGATTGGAATCAGAGTCTTCGTAGCTTTTGCTCTTAAATTAAAAGTGGTGGAATCCAGATTTCCGCTTTCTAGGTTAGTAGACAAGGGAAAAAAGGGGGGAAAGGAGTCAATTATTCTTGGCAGATTATGAAATGCAAAGAGAAATCTGTTTGGTTGCATAAGGGGGATTCTACTATAACATGACAAGGTCTGTACACCTCTGAAGCCAGGCCTTTGCACATATATCACCACCTGTGTGAAGAAACCCAGACAGAAACAGGAGCTCCCAAAGGCACTTTTCCAAAAGGCAACTGGACTTCCTTGGGTTTTCCCTTAAAAACATTTTGCTTCTCATCCAAGAAACATCTTCAGTTCTGAAGAAATGAACTAAACTGACAGCTGAAGAAGCTCCTTGGATGAGAAGCAAAACGTTTTCAAGGGGAAAAAAAACAAGGAAGTCTTGGAAAAACACCTTTCGGTCAACCATGACCTGGATGATTGAAACTCTCCATAGACAGAATAGAATAGAATAACAGAGTTGGAAGAGACCTTGGAGGTCTTCTTGTCCAACCCCCTGCTTGGGCAGGAAACCCTACACCACTTCAGACAAATGGTTATCCAACATCTTAAAAACTTCCAGTGTTGGAGCATTCACAACTTCTGGAAATTGTTCCACTGATTAATTGTTCTAACTGTCAGGAAATTTCTCCTAGTTCTAAGTTGCTTCTATCCTTGATTAGTTTCCACCCATTGCTTCTTGTTCTGCCCTCAGGTGCCTTGGAAAATAGTTTGACTCCCTCTTCTTTGGGGAAACCCCTGAGATATTAGAACACTGCTATCATATCTCCCCTAGGCCTTCTTTTCGTTAAACTATAGAAATAGGAGCTTTGAACGCTGTTCCTTATATTAAGGGAAAATCTCTTCCTACCAAGCGGCAGTTCAGCACATTCTCCATTAGTTCCAACAGAAGTTCTGTTCAAAATGAATATTGAATGGAGAAGAGCTCTGGCTTTAGTTGAACGTATTACAAAGTATATATAAATTGGCATGGGACTAGCATGGACTAATTTTGGAATTAAAATCATGGGTAAATTGTAAATTAATTAATAACATGGGTGAATTGTAAATGTAAATTGGAGTGTAAATGTAAATTGGAGCATGGACTCATTTTTGGAATTAATGACATAGGTTGAAATGAGGTACCGCCAACACTTCAAGAAAATATCTTGAATTAGACTACTCTGCATCTTGCTTTCAAGGATTTCTTCAAGCGAACAGATTCTCCTATAAACAGCCAGGTCTCTCTAATGCTAACTAATTCTCTGGGATTAATGCTCAAGTGGGAAATTGCAAGCTAGTCTGCAAGACAGATTGACAGAGACCAAAAAAGGTGAGTTTAAAAAAAATCCCTGGTAGGTTATACATCTCACAAGACAAAGACAAATATACCTAGAGCAGTCATGTCCAGTCCATGGTGAAGTACAATGGCATCGGTTTGGTCGTATACATTTCCCACCATTTAAGCATGGAGAGTGGCAAACAGCTGCATTGGAAGATCATAGAGAGGCATTACCACTTAGCGCAATTAAGATATGCTCCAACATTTGGGGTCACATTTTTTACTATTTATATAAATAGTACCTAGAATTACTGAAATAGCATAGCTGTTTGTGTTCACCTAATGAGTCAAAATAGCAAAAGGTACTTCTAGATACTGTACAGTACACAAGGTATTTAAGCAATTCATTTGAAAGAAAGCATACAAGATGAACAGAGTACAGGTAAGTTTTCATATGCAAATCGAGCTTGAAGAAGATGAAGGTTAAGAAAAAATAGAAAAATATGTCATACTATCTTTACTGAATAAAATTATCTTTAAAGAACTGAACTTAGCTATGTATTTTTTAACGATTTTAATTCTTCTTAACTTTCCATTTTAAAATCCCTTGTATTTGCCTTTCAAATATCTCAGAGAAGCAATATGAAAATATGTATATCCCTTCAAATATGAATGCAAAATAAATATTGTGGGTACACATGGAAATTTTATTATTTGGCTTTAGAAATAGAAAAAGTTACATATGAAGTAAAATGATGTCTACATGATAGCAGGGTACTATTACGGTAAGTGCCTTTTTTTGGTTCAACTAGTTATTTCTAAATAGGTCCTGATTGTAAAATGTATATTGCTTGGCCTGTTTGGCTAGGGAGATGTTCCTGTGAGTGATTTGTGGTTTGTGAAAATAATCACATTTTGTACCAGAGAGCTTATTAAGAGAAAGGTTTCAAACTTTCTCCTAAATCACTGATTTCAAAGAATGGTCTGCCTTAAAACATGTAAGGCTTGAAAACCAAGCAATGTATTGTTGTATCATAATTATTTCGTCCAAACCAGGTGTGAAATGCTACTGGTTTGGATGGTTCACCCTAATCGGTAGTAAAAAAAATGCTACCGGTTTGGGCGAACCAGTAGTTCCGATGATCAGTTGTGTGACAATCAGCTGTGCGCACGATTTATATTCGCAGGAAATCCTGCTTTCTAGCGAATCTAAATCACGCGGCACAGCTGTTACCCCCGTTCTACTTATCTTTTCAGATTCAGAAAAGGTTTCTTAATCCTCCTCTTTAAGCACTGCGTGGTAGCACCTGCGGTGTGCATGCACATGAAGTGCTTGTTTAGTGCACATGCGTGCAAAGGAAACTGGTAGCGAAGGGAACCAGTAGCAGACTTCACAACATTTCACCCCAGCTCCAAACTTCCAAATAATATGAAGGTAGCAAAGACATGCATTTCCAGATAAGACATGTAAAGATATATAGGCAGTCCTCATTCAGAGACCACAATTGAGACCACAATTTTGGACCAGTAATTTAAGACCTTTGGAGGCTTGTCAATCAAAGAAAAGGTGAAATAAGATCAAAAGCACAGTTATAATTTCACTTAGCGGCCATTCACAAGTGAATGGCCTTAAATTGAGGAATAAGTTTTGACATTGTTGTAACTGCAAATATCACTAAATGAAGACTATTTGTACTGACTGGTTCTGCTTACTGATTTTTTTTTTCCAGAACTCATTTGGTTAAGCTGCATTTACGCTTTGTATTAAAGTGCTATTGGGAGGTTGCGGGAAATTCTGAATTAAAAGTGCTTACCTTGATGGCAGCGTGAGCCAGTCCATCCAGTTGGGCAATCACATTGGTAAGGGGCCACACATCGACCTCCATTCAGACAATGCAGGATGCAGATGGCTGAAGGAAAAAAAAAAGGGAGTGAGAGTGGAAAGAAGAAGAAAGGTTTCTTTCAAATAAACAACACTGGTTCTATTTTTCATGAAACTAGAACAATTATCTCCCTCCCCATCACTTTCCAAAGACTTATCCATGTTGGTCTTCATTAATAATATCACAAAGAGCCTCCTAGCATTCTAAAATTTGATACATTTATTATCACACATAATCATTCAGAGCATTTACTGTAATCTTCCCTGTATCCTCATTCTAAGTATACAAAACATTCCCAATTTGCAGTTCAAACAGACTGATTTCTTCAAACTTGTATAATCTGTCTTCTAATTATTAAGGAGTGACTATTAGTGTGCCACAAATCTTCTTAATTTCATAAAATTCTTGTTATTTTTAATCAGTCCAGAATAGATTTTAGGTACAAGTGGCACAAAAGAAAAAAGAAATTAAGAAAAAAAGGCTTTTTTGCTTCGGTCAGTGAAGTATTCATTTAAAAAATTACTCACAGAAACTCAGTATTCAAAGCATAAATCTTCACATTTTTATTATTAGAATAATGCCCTGATTTCTGTTTGTTAACAATGTATTTCTTCTCCATTCTATTTTTAAAGTAACACCCTTCAAAATGGAACTCAAAATACATCCTGATTCTGTAAATGATAAATTAGAGGTTTTTGTGTGGGTGAGAAAGAAAGTAGAGCCTGGGTATAATAGATACTAAGTTTATAAATAAATCTTCAGTTTTCTATACCACAATTACTACTTTCATAAACATTTCAATCAAGTTGTACAACTTTTCAAATTACTCATCAATATGCTGCCACTTTGGAACATACAAGATTTTAAACCAAGATGTTCCTGACCACACTGATTAGAAAGCAGTGTGCTTTAAAATTTGTATGATCTAGATCTAATTAACATGTGTAATGTGAATTTCAAGTTAAGTCTATTAATACCGTGTTTCCCCGAAAATAAGACAGGGTCTTATTTTCTTTTGACCCCCAAAATAAGCACTTGGCCTTATTTTCAGGGAAGTCTTATTATTTTTGGGTGCAGGAGGCAGCGAGTGTGGTCACCTCATGGCTGCTGCTGTGTTGCAATATTTTTGGAGAGGGCTTATTTTTTGGGGAGGGCTTATTTTAGTGCATGCGCTCAAAAGCCTGATTAGGTTTATTATCTCGGGAGGTCTTATTTTCAGGGAAACAGGGTATAAAGAATGTTTTCCTTAAAGTTCATTTTCCTTCTTCTAATGGATTCTACCAGTGAGATGTTTCATGATTCTGGATAAAAGACAATATGACATACTGCATTTCTAATATATGACTAACAGAACCATTAAAAATAAAAATAAAAATAAATAACAATGAGGAACATGTCATCTTCCTTTGTCTTTGTAGCTGAAATTCTTGGTGCATGCTAGCAGGTTTCCCTGTGAAGTGTAAATTCAGGCTTACATTTTTCAACCCCTTTACATTTTGTGTATAATCAGTTCAGCTGGCTTTAAAAATACTAGCAAATGAGAATAACATGGAGCAGATGCTCTTTATGTTTTTATGCTACAGTCTATTTCAGTTGAACGTGGTCATAGTAGGAGGTGGAAGAATGGTTTTGACTGTATGTTTTGGACCACCATATTGCATACAATCTCCAAATCAAATTTCTGATGACCACAAACGATGGTAAAGAGGTCAGAATTGAAAAAGCTTCTTGGATCAGAAGTGAAATGTCTTCAAGGGAAAAAAAGGATTGGCTTTATTTCACTTGGATCTTGGACTTAAAAGGTCCCCAAATTAAAAATTCTTCAGAGTCAAGTTTGATTTTTGGTTATTACAGGCAATATTTGTAGCCAAAATAGGGAAGAGATTTGCCTTAGCTTCTTCTGTTTGTTTTTACCAAGCTACTGTAATCTAGTTTAAAGCTGTAAGGTTTCTTCAGATGTTCTCAAACAGACCCGTATTATTCCTTTTCTTAAACAAAATTCCTGATTAAAATAGTGAAGCACAAGTTTTGGGGGTTATGAATCCCTGTTCAGGAGTTCCTACTCATGCAACAGGAGCTTGTCCAAAACGAAACAATTCTACTCAAGATTTAAAATACAGTGATACACAACCAAGACATATTGCCCTAAGCCTGTTGAGAAAGGATAATTTCCACACCATTTATTTTAATACATGGAAGATAGATGATCTATGACAAGCAATAATGAGACAAAGGGGGATGGAACACCTGATGTATCTTTTTCTATTATTTATCTTTCCTCACTAAATAGCATGAAAAGTGAGCAGCTGATTAAGGCAGGAAACTTACAAAATAGTAGATAATAATTACTGATTCTTTCTTGAGATTATTGACATTCCAATCACAAGGACATTTATAAGTACAAGTCTTAAAAGAATCTCATCATATACAAACTAAGCCGAATCAACCTTCTATTGGTCTTAATGACCAAAATAACTTTTATTGAATAATTTGCTACACCACTAGCATGTCATCTATTTATTTTAAAAGGAAAACTGGGGTAGAGAATCCCAAACATGTAGAAAAAAACATTCCTCAGCCTAGTATGTCAGAATTATAAGAAGATGCAAAAGTCTTACTCTGGATTGCTCAGGAGAACAATAATGAAAGTAAATATAATATTTTTAAATGAGGGATACGTACGCTCTTCACAGAGGCGTCCCATCCAACCCTCAAGACAGGAACAAACATTTGGCCTCTCACAAACACCCCCATTCTGACATGGGAACCGGCAAACAGCTAGACAGAGCAACAAAATCGAGTTAGAACAGGAAATTATAAAGCAAAAGTTATTCATCGGAAAAATAAACACTAGTAAGCTGATAAGGAAAGAAAGCACACAAACATTTATTGATTATAAGGAAAGCATCTGGTATAGTATTTTAGAATTACTAGGCAAAAATCCCTTGGTTAAAATCACTTCAGCTATGTGATTATGTAGTGTCAAACTAGGTTGTCTTCAGAAGGCAGATTTCCCTTTTTATATTTATGAGGTTTAATTTTCTTTTTAAAAAATTGTCTATATCAGGGGTGTCAAACTCACGCTGTCATATTGTGGTCACGTGACCTATCACTACTTCCCCTTCGCTAAACTGGGGGTGGGCACAGCCAGCACGTGATGCATCCGGCCCACTGGCCGGATGTTTGACACCCCTGGTCTATATGATTCTGGAAGTGGGAATCCAAGGAATCGCCTGCCCCTTACCCTTCTGCCAAAATATCCATATCCACAATAGCAATATTTCAGGTAATGAATCTGCACCTGTAACCCTTTGCAGGCATCCCTGCATCCATCCTCTGCTGCCCACAAGCTCTTTTCTGCCAGCTGGTAGGTGTCTGGGCTCCACGTTAAGCTACCTCACGTAGCCAAGGAGGCAATTGTTTATTGTGTGTAGTATCTAATTGTGGATCCACTAGGCAAATTCTAAAATAGGATGAACAGAAGCCTGAATCTGATACACGTATTACTGAGAAACAGTTCAGGATTACAAGGCTTGAAAACAAAATTTATGCTTATAATTATATAATACTCTTTAATGATATATCTGTAATTGGTTGAGAGCATATCCTCAAACCCAGGACATCTGCTAATATTGCTCATACTAAAGATTAACATGATCTGCTTTCATGCTGCCTCTGATGTAGGCCCTTCAAAGCAAAATGCTGGAAGTCTTTTGTTAGTCAATAAGCCTCCATTATTTATAACACACTTTTAAAAATGAGTAAGGAGAAGTCCATTATGACATCAATCAGGAAAATATAGGCCATTTCTGCTACTTCTGCTTTTTTCTGTCACCTGCTTTGAGGCAGGAAGATGAGAACAAATACTATACAATATAAATAGTTATTATTTAAATATAATCTTATTTTTCCCAATAGGTGGTGTTCGCTAGTGATAAATAATCCATAAGACACTGTACAAATAAAAGTATTGTAACAATATAAAGACTTCAAATTTATATTGCTGTTCCCATTGTGTAATCCTATACCATTTGGGAATAGATTAATAACATATTCAATATTTGGAACTAAGTCCTATAGATTTTAAATTCAATGGAACTTTTTTCATCCAAGAAGAAATTGTAGAAATTGTGGACAGTGACATGCACAGCACACCAAGATGATGTGTGAAATACATATAGTAATACTGTTACGCAAATACTATTATTATTTATATCCTAACATGTCATGTATGTTTATCATGGTACTTGTAGGACATTACAGCATTAGCATGTTCTGCCATTTGGGACCCCCCCCCCAGTTATTTTGCCACAAACTGTTTGGTCTACCAACTTGAAATCTACCCATGTTCTGAAAACAACAAGTAAGAATATTTCTTTTTTCTGTAATAGAACTGAAATTTGCATGTCATGGGTGCTAAATATGGACTATACCTACTTCCCAAATTGCTTAGAACAGTTTTGGACCTCATGTGGTCAGTTTTTCTCTACTATTCATTAAGGCAACCCAGAGTTGCCTTTTGAGGCTTTTGGGAAAAAGATGATGTTATTTTAAGAGTCACATTCAGAGTGGACTTCTTAAAGCAGCAGAATCTTTTTTAAGCTCATACATACTACCTGAAAAAGTAATTATGTTGTAAAGAAAACAGAGAAATGCTGGCCTCGTGGAGTGTTTGAAGCACTTCCTCTGAAACATCTTTGAGATGTGCACAGTGTTAATAAGTATAGAATGTTTCTGGCAAGTCCAATTCCTTTTGCCCTATAAGAATTATATCATTCTGTGTGGGTGAGAAGAAAAAAGAAGGTCATGTAACCCCTGCAGGCAGTCAAGAGTTATGGGGTAGAAAAACAACTGCTGAAAGACAAGCAGTGATTGACAGGCTCCCCTTTGAGGTCAGAAAAGGCACCTGCAAACAAACTGCTTACTTTCTGGCTGAAAGAAATTGGGAAGGGCCAATTGGGAAAGGATGAAGAGAAGGGAATGACTGGACTCAGCTAGCTAGTCTGCTAAATTCCTGGTTGCTGGTTCTGTTTATTGCACCAAAGACAATTGTGAATTTTGTAGTATATTAAAGTCTAAAACATTTCGGTGTAAAAAATTATAAGCCTAAATGTATCTTATGAAGGTCCAGTTCATAAAATTCATACTACAATGCATTTATTAGTCTTTAAGAGTACTGCAAATTTCTTTTTAACTTGTCTCTTTAATCTGCTAAAATGAATGTTGCCTCTCTTTGCCCTGAATGTATAACCCCTTAGGTGTAGAAGTAGAATATACAGCACAATATTCATAAACCAACCAATATTCAAAACAGGAAGCAAAGGAAAGGTAGATTTAGAAAACAGTGTTCCATTTAGAAAAAAGGCTCCTAAATGCAAAACATTTGTGGCAACAAGAAATAGGGGTACTATGGCAGTTCCCCAAAATGTCCTAATATAAAATATAAATATATAATATATATTATATAATATATTGTCAGATGTTTCAAACTTTTTATGTATTATAAGCTTTATTTTATATTATAAGCTCTTCCTTATAATGTCTACCTGAAGTCTGCAAGTGAGATTCAATCTTGCTGTATGTTGTTACTCCCTACTAATTATAGAAAGCAGAAGTGGAACAATATACTAGCACAACAGTGTCACATCAAATTGGGGGTTGTGCTTAATGTGATGTTGGTAAATAGAGTTTTAATCCAGAGCTCACATTTAATCTGCTTGTCTATTTCTTCTTTTTTCTTCCTTCCTTTTTTCTTTTATCTCCTTCCTTCCTTCTTCCTTTCTTCCTTCCTTCCTTCCTTTTTCTTTACTTTTCTTTTCCTTCCTTCCTTCCTTCCTTCCTTCCTTCCTTCCTTCCTTCCTTCCTTCCTCAATTCTTTCTCTTTTTCTCTCATCCAGTTATTCAGGACATCAAAAAATGCATAGTGTTATGTGTTGTTTATTTCACACTGAATGCCAATTTTGGCAAATTTCTGGAAAATGATCTTTGAAGGATACCATTAGCCCCATAGCTCTTATATCAGAGGTGGTATTCAGCAGGTTGTGACCAGTTCTGGTAGCGGAAATTTTGCGCAGTTCAGAGAACTGGAAAATACCACCTCTGAATGGCCCCACTCCCATCTATTCTCTGCCTACCGAGTTCCAGCTAATCGGGAGGGAATGGAGACTTTACAGTATCCTTCCCCTGCCATGCCCACCAAGCCACGCCCATAGAACTGGTAGTAAAAAAATTTGGATGCTACTACTGTCTTGTATGGAACACTGCCTTTACATAGTTGTTGTTGAAACACTAATTTACCTTTGCAAGCTGGGGTTCCCGCCCAGGTTCCGTTTTCTAAGCAGACACTTCGAAGGGAGCCCTCTAGCATGTATCCACTGTAGCATGAGTAGGTCACCATATCTCCATATTGATAAAATGTTCCACGTACCAAAGCATGTTCTACATGAGCAGGTGGCCCACAAGAGATCCCTTAATAGAAATGGCAACAAAGAATTTGTAATGGTAAGCCGCCTTAACAACCCGACATAGTGCGCAAGACATCACAGATAACAAATCACTGCAAAACTGAACCGTGGCAGTCTTTCTGTCTTCCAGATAGCTGCAGATAGACTCCAACATCTAGATTTGTGAGCATGGCTATCTGTAATCTTCTGTAATCAGCTGGTATATTGGAGCAAGGGAAGATTTTGTTATCTCCTTAAATATATACCCTTCACCTCCAAGAAAGGGAGTGTAGATAGAGAAACCTACAATCAGGAAAAAGGAGGAGCAGCTGTATTTCTACCTTACATTGCTTTGTGCCAAGAATTTGTGAGGAAAGATTATAGCAGCAGCAATGCCCTCTGATTTGTCCGAACATTTTTAGCTGAAGGATTGGCGTCTTGTCCTCAGGGATTTTGTCTTGTCAGCCTAAAGGCTGTCCATTTTACGGCATCTTCAACTGATGGCTGTTCAGCCTTTGCTTGAATTTATTTAGCAACTCAGTACCTTTTCATGTATGACAGTTGCATTTGAGTATGTCTGAATGAATATATGTCCACTTACAAAATCTCTTATTTCTTGGTTTGATTCTGTAGCTTTCCTGAAGAGTCAGATGACACAAAAAACGATTTTAAAGAAAGAAACCAAAATGAAAGCCATTTTTCATTAGCTACTTACTCTCACATTTAGCTTTGGTTGGAGTCCAGACCTCATCAGGATTACAGCTAATCACAGATTGTCCCTGAAGCTGATAGCCTTCTCTGCATTTGATAAACACCTCTTGCCCAACATAAAAAGTTGTTTCTGAGAGAATGGCATTTTCTGGGATTATAATAGGTACAGGGCACGGATTTGCTGCATAAAGCATAGAAAGAGGGGAAAAGAGATTTTGAAGGATTACTGAAGTATTTGTATTTGTGTTTATTAGTTTGTCAAACATGTACAAGATAGCAGGTATAAATGTAAACATGGATATGAATGAAAGAAATGAGTACAAATAAATGGGGACAGTAGGACAGGGACGGTAGGCACGCTGGTGCGCTTATGCACGCCCCCTTTACGGACCTCTTAGGAATGGGGTGAGGTCCACAGTAGACAGTTTAACGTTGAAGCTCTGAGGGTTAAAGAATGTAACAACACTTCACATGAAGTGTTTAATACCACTTTATAATGCCTTGGTAAGGCCACATTTGGAATACTGCATTCAGTTTTGGTCACCATGATGTAGAAAAGATGTAGAGACTCTAGAAAGAGTGCAGAGAAGAGCAACAAAGAGGATTAGGGGACTGGAGACTAAAACATATAAAGAACGGTTGCAGGAACTGGGTATGTCTAGTTTAATGAAAAGAAGGACTAGGGAAGACATGATAGCAGTGTTCCATTTATCTCAGGGGTTGCCACAAAGAAGAGGGAGTCAAACTATTTTCCAAGGCACCTGAGGGTAGAACAAGAAGCAATGGGTGGAAACTAATCAAGGAGAAAAGCAACTTAGAACTGAGGAGAAATTTCCTGACAGTTAGAACAATTAATCAGTGGAACAGCTTGCCTCCAGAAGTTGTGAATGTCCCAACACTGGAAGTCTTTAAGAAGATGTTGGATAGCCATTTGTCTGAAATGGTATAGGGTTTCCTGCCTAGGCAGGGGGTTGGACTAGAAGACCTCCAAGGTCCCTTCCAACTCTGCTATTGTATTGTATATCTTGACTCCCCTTATTTACTTACAAATTTCCATTCTTTCCCTTGGTTCTGGGAAATTTACTTATTATTCATTGTATATAATTTCCCCCCTGCCTTTCCTTATCAGAACAAAATAAGACTGTAAACTTCCAACAGATATTACCAGAGAGGAAAAAAAAATATTTGGCCTCTTTATTGTTTTTCTACTGAAGATTCCTTCTGTTGCTTTTTAATCATGTGATGGAAAATATAGGAAAACATGGCCCTTTTAATGTTTCTAGAGAAAGTGGCTTGAAGGGGAACACATTTTTTGCAAGAAAAAGATGAAGGAAAAACCTTGAGATAATCCTGTCTGGAATTCTGCTGTTAATTATTAAGAGGTGTGAATTAAAGGTTTTCTGCAGCTTCCACCAATGAGAGATTGCACATGGATGCACCTTTTACTGTTTTGTTATTCTGCTTGGTGGGAGTAGGGCAGGAAACAGTGCAAGACTGTCCCTTCATTCCAGTCATAGCCAATGCAGCCATTACCTTACAGGCAGTACTAGCCAAGAATGGACATCACGGCCAATGACATCTTCCTGCTTCGCCCTGTATCCCTCCTCCAAACAAAAACTTTAATTAAAAGCAATTAAAACTTTGTTTTTAGAAAGTTGCAAATGGATTAAGCTTCCTGATAAATTTGAAAAAAGATTCTGGAATTGATTGCAAAGAATCCTTCCTGTGGTAAAATGCTTTTGTTTGAATTCTTTTCTAAAACACACAATAACACAAGACTACAAAATTGGACCTTAGAAAAAATTCTAAGGAAATAAAAATTACAACTAAAGAAGAACATTCAAACTTGACTCATTAATAAAGAATGAAGCAAAATATTTTAACATTGGAATAATTTTTTGAACAATGGTCCCAGAGTTAGTTTAAAGAGTTTGTACCTATATAGAAAAACTGTGTAAAAGATGCTATGGAAGAAGAACAAGTTTTAACTGACATAAATGAGACTGATCTGAAAGTGGATTTAAAAATGACAGGCTATAATAATGACACAGAGACTGATGTTACACTGGACATACAAAAGAAATGGAATGATCTCTTAATTAAAAGGGATATACAAATAACACACCAAGAGAGTGACCTGGATGCATTTTAATATTGTGGTTAGACAAGAGGTTTATTAAAGCTTTGAAGATTTTTGTGAGAGGGAACAAAGAAAAATGGGAAAAAATTCAATTCTAGAACATTATTTGATATGTCTAAAGATCAATTGTTAGAAGTAAAAGGAAGGAATATAAACTTGTTTTGCTTGATCAAGGTTAAAACAGATATGATATTATTTCTGCTAACACTTTATGGAATTTTGCTGACATCAGGATTACAATGATGAGGCTTTATGGATTTGTTAATATATAAGATATGAGATATGGGAAGAAGAGATCATTGGCTATATTTTAAGATAAGGTGATAAGTTAGTAAAATTGTTTATGATGAAAGGGGAAGTCATTTATATATTTTTCCCTTTTTCTTTGCTATATTCTTATTTCTTTTCTTTCCAGAAGTTATTAAAATGAGACTTTTCTGAAGAACATATGGGGATAATCTAGGGTGATGGCATTTGCAGATTCTTACTGCTCTATACTTACTGGATTTTTAAACACTATTGTTGACCACTAAGAATCTTTGAAAATTATGGCTACATACAAATTAAGCCAATTCATCAACTGGAAGAGGGATTCCATAAATGGGATAAAAGCACTGAAAAGCTCTCAATAGATGTATTACTTGTCTTACATAAGGCAGCAGGCAGCAGAAAACCTCCGAAGATAATCAAACATAAAGGCAAGTTGACATTTTTTTCAAATACTTAGAGACTGTAAACTGTTTAGGACTTGATATTTAATTCCAGCAATTCGAATGGTATTTGAACACAGAGAAGAATGCCTGAGGTCCCTCCCCCCTTGTATCAGTGAGATTATGTTCCCTCTTGTTCTAATTGAAAAAAAAAGTACTTTAAATTTTTACTCAGATCTTTTAAATGATTATTTTAAATATTTTTTTAAAATGCTGTTGGTTTGCCTTATGGATGTTTATATGCCACCAAGGTCACAAATGTGATTAGATTCATGCACCCACATACCTGAGGTTTCTGAACAAACCTCAAAAGCTCAATTTTTGATCAGAAATATTAGGTAAAAATTATTTCCATTTCTTCCTCTAATACTGTTTTCAAATGTTGAAATGTCATATGTGTCTGACAGGAAAAAGAATTAGATACACCATGGCTTGCTTGGCTGTACAATCTGACTCTGTATCTTTGCTGCCACCTTGAGGTGAATTAAGACATTTATAGCAAATGTTGTTATACAACAATTACTTCATCTTTCTCAAAAGTGAAATAAATATTTTAGAAATATGGTTTAAAATTCTAAATATGTTGGATGCAGAGAAACAGATGTACACTATAGATAATTATCCTATGGCCAGTCAGTCTTCTACAGAAATAGAAATGATAATTCCTTTATAAGATATAGTCTTCTGAAGAATTGATAGTTATAATACAGCTTCTGCTGTGAGTCTTGGTGACTGAGGACATCTCCTTGAACAAGCAGAGATGATAACTGCTGGGCCTGATGAGTAGACCGATCCTTAGATACTCTCTGAAGGAGAACAGAATGGGAAATCTCCTATAATTGCCCTGAATGGCACTTTCTCTTTTATGGCAGGGGTGTCAAACTGGAGGCCTGCGGGCTGGATATGTCACACACAGGCCATGCCCAGCCCAGCTCCACAAAGGGGAAAAACGTTGCAATATGTCATGTGATGGCAACATGACGCTGCGACTTTGACAACCGTATTTTATGATCTTCTATGGGATTGAGCACCAGGAGCTGAAGGAGTTGACATTATCGTTTCTAGAGCACTGGAGTCTTTAATAAGGACGTGAGGCCAGTCAAACTCATTTTTTAATCACATTTGGAAATGTTCAATTTAATCAGTTTATGGATATTAGAGACCTTTAAACAGTGAGCTTAGTATGACACTTGGTGAGTTTTACCTTCCTCTTGGGGTTTAAGAAGTTTTAAACAAAGGCATAATAATTTAAAATAATATATAATTGGCAGAAATAAAAAATAATAATTTTATCACAATAACAGAGTTGGAAGGAACCTTTTACGTTGTCTAGTCCAGTGGTCCCCAACTTTCTGGTTGCATGGACCGGTGGTGGTGGTGCATGGTGGGCTTGGGGGCAGTGGGGGAGGCAGTGGGTTTGTGTGCTCAACCTAATCCTGCGCAGGTGCAAATGAAGCTTCGTGCACTCGCCCACTGCTTGTACAGCCCAGGTCCCAATGGGCCATGGCTTGAAGTTGGAGATCTCTGCTCTAGTTCAACACCCACCCCCCCATAGCAGGAAACTGTATATCATTTCAGACAAATGACTGTCCAATCTCTTCTTTAAAAACTCCACTGGAGGAGTACCACTTCAAGTCATTCCATTGATTAATTATTCTGTTAGGAAATTTCTTCTTAGTTCTAGGATGGTTTTCTCCTTGATTAGTTTCCATCCCTTGCTGGAAACTAATCAAGAAGAGAACCAAGATAGGATTTTGATTTAGGACAGTTTTAAATGGATTGGAAAATCAAAGGGATTTGGAATATTGATTATTTTTTCTCTAAGGTATGAATCTAAGATTTGAAAAAATACATAATTAAATAACATACTTGGGTGGCAAATGAGTGAAATGAATTAAATCCATAGAACTGTGGTTTGATGAAGGTTGCAAATGGACACTAGAGGGAGCTAAACTACAAGGCAGAAAAGAGTTAAAAATGGCTAAGCCAGCAATAACTTTTTCTTATCTTAAAATAGTTGTTGATAACTGGACTGAGATATTAATAAATTATATTTCAGGAAGGATACAGATAAAAGTTTAAATAGATAACTTTTAGAAGATTATGAGAAAAAAAACTTACAATCTTTTATCAGAACATAACAGAGTTTGGAAGCGTGGAAGAGAACAATAGTGAGATTACCAAAATGGGAATACAAAAGACAAATCAAAGTCATGTGATGCTCCTTTGCTGTTTTAACTCAAGGGCTACCTGTATAATTATTAAAAACTTCAATACAAAAGGAATAATGGTTATAATGTAATATATATTCCAGAAGCAACTTTCTTGACTTGTTAGATTCAAACAGATCTAGCTCATGAATTTGAACATTTTGGAGAAAAATAATATCCAGAGCTCAGTTTTTTGGATGTTTTAAAGTAAAGACTACTGTCTATTATTAAAAGGGAACATACGTTTGCATGAAGGTGTTGGGTGGCTCCATATTCCAGCTTCTGTGCATTCTGCAATCTGTTCGCCTTCCAAACTATAACCCCTATTGCAGTAATACGCAGTTCTGCTGCCAACTGTATTATTTTCAGAGACAACGTTTCCATTCTCAATCAAATCTGGATCTTCACATCTGGTTTCTAAAAAGTGGGGTATGATAGTTAGGATACCTCTTCTCCTTTCAATCACTAACAATACAGGTAGTCCAGTAGTGGGTTCTGGCAGGCACTACTGCTGGTTCGCTCATGTGCGCGTCGTGCGCGCATGTGCAGTGCAATGAAAATTGTTCTGCGCATGCGCCACCAGGAAAACCGGTTCAGGGGTGTGGCAGGCCTGGGTCGCTGCTGGTTCCAGTGACCCAGGCCGCCAAAGCACTACGGGTTCAGCCGAACTAGTCCGAACCCATCACTGAGGTAGTCCTTGACTTATAACAGTTCGTTTAGTTACCATTCGAAGTTACAAAGGCAGTAAAAAAAATGAATTATGACCATTTCTCGCACTTCCCATTGTTGCAGAATCCCCATGGTCACGTGATCAAAATTCAGTGCTTGGCAACTGACTCATATTTATAACGGTTGCAGAGTCCCAGGGTCATGTGGATCACCTTTTGCGATTTTCTGACGAGCAAAGTCAATGGGGAAGCCAGATTCACTTAACAACCTGGTCATTAACTTAACAATGGCAGTGATAAATAACAACTGTGGCAAGAAAGGTTGTAAAATGGGGCAAAATTTACTTAACTCACTTAGCAAGGGAATGGTGGTAAGTTGAGGACTACCTGCAATCAGAGAATCTTCTGGATGAATTTTCATTGTCTAAAAAGGATTTAAAGACCTACAACTACTTTTGAAGCTGAATTCTGGGGCATTACTACACATACCTTGGAGTTGGAGTAAGAGGTGGTGTATTAAATTTACCAAATTGGCTTGGAATAGATTCCAGCCACAACAAATCTAGAAGAACTACAAGCCCCAAACAAAAACCCATAGTCACCTTCACATGTTGGAAGGGGTTGACTCCAGGATCCATTGGCCAAGCAGGTGATGTTCTCCAGTCCACGTAAGTGATACCCGAAATTGCATACAAAATATATATTACTTCTGTACATATTTTCTGTGGCTATGGAAAATGCATTTTGTACTGTTGGAGGGGCTTCACATCTTATGCCTAAAAAAAGAAAAAAAGAATCTTTACTTCTGTAATTTATTACTTATTCTTATTCCTCTTTGGCTGTATGCTCAAGACATGAGTTTTTTTGCCAATGTGCTTGGATTGTAGCTCATTCACATATATTGGAGCTAATGGCGTCCACTTCTTGTTAACATGACAGATCCTTTAAGTTGACCCCTGTAACTCATATCCCTGATTACAACTGTAGAGAACTTCATCTCCAAGTAAAAAGTCTTTGCCAAAAACAGATCCATTATCTATTGGTTTGGGGGCAACCACTGGATATTTCTGAAGCTGAACACATACTGTATTTTTCAGAGTATAAGATGCACCTTTTTGCCTCAAAAGAGGCTGAAAATTGGGTGTGTCTTATACACTGAATGCAGCATTTTTTGCCTCCCGAAGCCCTGCCCCCTCACCAAAATGGCCGTGCAGAGCCTTATGGAGGCTTTCAGAGAGCTCCTGGGGGCTGGGGAGGGCCGAAATGAGCAAAAACGGCCCGTTTTTTGCTCCCCTAGGAGCACTCTATAAGCTTCCATAAGGCTGTGCATGCAATTTTCTTGACAAAAAATGGACCCATTTTTGCTTGTTTTTGGCTCCCCCCCCCCAGGAGCACTCTGCAAGCCCCCCCAAGACTATTCATGCCTTTAAAAAAAAAAAGGGCCTGTTTTGTGAAAAACAACCAGTTTTGGGAGGTTTTCAGAGTGCAAAAACTTTTTTTTCCCCTTTCGGAAAGCTCTTTAACTGATTGATGAGAATTAGATTGATCAAGTGCTGTGCCAGCAGAAACAAAGTCTTAGGTGCTGCAGATTGTCAGGGATTTCCTTCTCCAGCACATGGATAAATACACCTGGAAACATCTATCTACCCACCTACTCTTTCTCTCTCCCTACCTACCTACTGTATTTCTCTCTCTCTCTGTGTGTCTCTTTCTCTCTCTCTCTTTCCCTCTGTCTATCCACCTACTCTCTCTCTCTCTCCCTACCTACCTACTGTATTTCTCTCTTTCTCTCTCTCTATCCCTCTGTCTATCCACCTACTCTCTCTCTCTT